TTCTTCGCGGGTCCTCTCCATAGGGCACTGTTGTTCGTAATGTTTCATTTTGATTTTCTGTTAACTGTGGAGGAACGGGTGACGGGGCCTGCTAGGCTTTACTTTCAAGAGATCCGGATGAAAGAACACTAAGCTCGGCACCAACACGTATATTACCTGCCACTGGTTTTTAACGGGTTTACTAACATTACTTGCATATGGAGTCACATAATTGCCAATTGAATTTGCATATACCCAAAATGTTTCAGCCCCGGTAATTGTCGTGGTTTTGAACAAAGTAATATACAACATGAACCGGTAGACAAACAGCAGTAAGAGCAATTTCTCAGCTATTGAAAAAGAAATAGAATTGGAATAACAATAATTATTTCATCTAGTGAAAAATGAAAATAACTGTCTCAATAAACCGGCACCAACCAACCATATGTTAGTGGAGACATAATAAGTCGTAACGTAGGGAAGAATGCACGTTTGTGATCCCCAGTCAGATGTGCTCATTGTGATCCGATTTTCTTTAATGTAGACAGGATGGTCAAAGCTAGGCTGCTATGGACTGATTTCAGCATCCTTGACGCATGCAAAATCAACATATTGGTTCGGTTGTAATGAATTCATTTAAATTGTTGGGCTTTCATGAAGCCTTACCCGTCTTATATTTCATTAATCCGGAGAATGCATCTTTATTGCAATGTTAGTATTTCCTTATTTACACAACAAAGGAGAAGAAAAGATCTGGAGGATGCATCACAGCAACGGTTACGGCATTAACCTGTCCTTTTTGGGTATATATTCGGTTCTATCTGCAAACGTAGATAACTGAGATGTTGTTTGGACGGCTTCTGACTGCAATTGTATCGCCTAGATCGTTCTCTATGCATAAAGAAGGGGGGAAATTTTTTTTTTTTTTAAATCACGTAATGGTTTGGTAAAGGAGGAGAAAGGGAACTTTAAGGTAGTCAAAATGTTTGGGAGGGAATAATAAAAAGCTATCTTTGTTCCAAAGTTGAAACGGACATTGCCAGCGAACGGTGGAGGCATCACGGCATTAAAATGATCGTGATCGTCTTCTCAAAAGAAAATGACTGACTTGTTCTTCTTGGGTCGTAGGTTGCCCACATAGCTCGTCGGTTGCTGGGCTTTGATGTAATGTTTTACCGCACACTAATTTCTGGTTCCAAAGGCAAAAGGGCAAAAGATAGAATGCTTCTCAAGTCTAAACGCAGGTTGAGCTTCATGTTCTAGCTTTTCTTTGGATCAGTAATATTCCATTTTTTTGTTTCTTTTTCTTTTTCCATCTTTTGTCTTCTATTTGTAGGCCTACTTCACTAATTAATTTTTCAGGGGAATTCGACTTTGAGAGAAGGGAAAAAAATGAAGTGAAATGTGTGAATTTGGGTTTTTTCTTTTACTTCGTAGAGAACTGTTAAACGTTGTGCAACTCGAGTTTACATTTTGTTCCCATTGTACTCACCACATTTGCTCACAATTAAACAAAATTTAGCGAAGTAAAGTTAAAGGAATTAGTAGTACACACTTGCATTAATTGTCTACAAAGCAATAGCTTCCTCGTTTCATTTCACGGAAGAATGAAATAGAATAGTGGCAACCTTTTTGTTGCGCAGAACATTGCTAACCTTTTTGTTGCTTTTACCAAAAAAAAAAAAAAATGCTTCGAAAGAGAATTGGAATGCTTTGCACCATTACATATTAAGAATTTGTTTGTATTTCTACGTACCAACATTTGGAATTCAAACCACAAAAATTTATTTTTTGAATTTTAACCAATGCATGAAAGGGTAAATTATAAAGAATAAGGGGAAACAAAAGGAAATAAATGAACTGATATTGCTGGTACTTTAAATAGAAATATTTTCTTTGAATGAGAATTGAGCGTATTTGAGATAAAATAATTTGATTCATAAATTTCAATCACCTTTTTATCTTTCCAATTATTTTTTTATTTTACGTACATTACATCACAAGAAATGTTAAGGTAATTATCTCAAATAAATCATTCAAGTATTTTAGTAGGAAATACAGCAATTGGATTGCATTCCGGGTGATTTCCAATATCCACAAGAGGAATTAATGGAAATCACGCGCCAAATTAAAAGAAAGAAAGCTGTCTACTTTCCAAGTTCTCAGCTTAACCATCAAATCCATAAACGTGTTTCGGTGATCGTACGCTGTACGTTGTACTCCTGTCGTCTTCTACGATAAACCCAAAGCGATGATAAATCTTGTCCTAATTTCTGTACTACAATAGTTTTTCCAGACGGTTAGTACCAAAACCAAATTTTCCATATATATTCTCCAAATCTAACCCCGTCAAAAGATGCTCCCAGTTTTCCATGGCCAGACCCCATATAATCCTCGCCCTTATTCTCCTCTTCTTAGTCGTCTCCGCCACGGCGCACGGCGGCGCTCACGACGGCGATGATGATTCTGCAGACTCCGGGTCCGACCCATCTTCAGAAAAACCCAATCTTAGAGCGCGTTCACTGATTCTGGTGAAGATATGGTGCTTGATTCTAGTGTTTGTTGGGACTTTTGCTGGGGGGATGTCGCCGTATTTCTTCAAGTGGAATGAGGCGTTTATAGTGCTGGGGACGCAGTTCGCCGGTGGGGTTTTCCTGGGGACTGCCTTGATGCATTTCTTGAGCGATTCTAATGAGACTTTTGAGGATCTGACTCATAAAGAATACCCTTTTGCATTCATGCTGGCGAGTGCTGGATACTTGTTGACCATGTTGGCTGATTGCTTCATTTTCTATATATATGGGAAGCAGCATGGTAATGACGGTTCTTCTTCAACCGGTGGTGCTGATCATCTTCATCATCATCAAGGTTGGATTTATATCTAAGTGTTTTTTTAAATGCTCAATTTGTATTTGCACAGAGTTAGATTCTGACAAATTCCGGCAAGTTGGTTTGGTTTGATATTGAGTAAGCTGTGTATGGTTGCCACGTGTTTTATGTATGTTGATTCAGAGCTTGACGATTACTTGTTTAGTTGCTAGAAGCCTAGAAGTTGAGTGGAGACGAGACATTTGTGAATCAAATTATACCAACTTGGAAGAATGGCTACTAAAAAGTTTTCATCCTGAATATGTTCTTGAAGTTTAGTGCTTTGGAATTAATTTGTCTGTGTTATAGCTTGTCTTTGGCTGCCAAGAAGTTGAGGAAAACAATAGAGATAGAATCTTGTCGTCGTGATGCAATTGATTTGGTAACTTGTAAGGCCCTTCGAGCGGTAGCATGAGTTTAGAGGTTTAGACTGCTCCGCTCAGAGGAATCTTTTGGTTTTATTTGACATAAAGAGGAACTTTTCTGATTCCAATGGAGAGTCTGCTGTAAGAAATTATGAAACTGAGTTTACAGATTGGATTATCTGATGCTGCAAAGCTTGCACGGTTACCATGTAAAACAGATGTAGCTATGTCTGAAGAGATGGTTAAAAAACAAAAGAGCTAGGTCAGAGCATGTTAACTTGATATTTTTAAGTTCCAATTGAGTGGGATTCATGCTATGTTTTGCGTTTAAAAGGTGATTGATAGTCCAAGTTTGTATGGGTGTTGCAGGGGTTGCTCACAGTGGAAAAGGAAGTGGCAACGGGGGAGCTTCTCAACCTGAGGTTCAGGTTGGTCTTTCTTCCAGTGCTTTAGCTCTCTGGTCTAGTTAACTTTTGAAGAAAATATCTTACTTCTCAGATCAATTGAACAACTCGTTGTTAACAGGTCCATGGCCCTTCAGATCACCACTTCAGTAAGGCACCACTTGTAACTGCTGCTTCTCTTGGGGATAGCATCTTGTTGATCGTTGCCTTGTGTTTCCATTCCGTGTTTGAGGGCATCGCTATTGGAGTTGCAGAGACCAAAGCTGATGCTTGGAAAGCTCTTTGGACCGTATGTCTGCACAAGATCTTTGCAGCGATTGCAATGGGAATAGCTCTCCTCAGGATGATCCCAAACCGCCCTCTCTTATCTTGTGCTGCCTATGCTTTTGCATTTGCAATTTCCAGCCCTATAGGTGTTGCCATTGGAATTATAATAGATGCTACAACCCAAGGTGCTGTTGCAGACTGGATATATGCGATATCCATGGGTCTTGCTTGTGGGGTGTTCATATATGTGTCCATCAACCATCTGCTCTCCAAGGGTTACAATCCTCAGGAAGTAGACATGCCTTGTCACAAATTTTTGGCCGTCTTATTAGGTGTTGGAGTCATCGCTGTTGTGATGATTTGGGACACTTGAGCTCATATTGAGTCTGCTGTGTGTTTGTTTTGGGGTTGGGGGGGGGGGGGGGGGGGGGTACGTCAGAGTATATTGCAGATAGAGTTTAATTTCTTATAAAGAAAATCACGTCTAGCTTTTGTCGAGTGATTAAGCAAATTTTAGACTGGTTTTGATAGCTCATAGAACAAAATTTAAAGGCCCCCTCTTTTTCTATTTTTTTAAGGGGTATCCATACCGGCAGTAGTGTATATCATCTGCATGCCTGAGATTTGCAGAGAGAATAAAATTTCCGTCTAAGCAGCTGCAGAACTAAGCCATTTTGATTTGCTTTTCTTGCAGGAGGTAAATTTGGTATCAAGATTTCCTTGTCTTTCAACAACTGTAAGAAACACACACACCCGAATCTAAGGTGACTCCACCAGTTTCCTTGTGTGGTTGAGTTGGATTTTAGTACAAATGGATCATCAATAGTTGAAACGTTGATCGACTCCATTCACTCGACAAATTTGCTTTGATCTCTAACACGTTGCAGAATGTCCAAACTCCAATTGTTCCGCCAAAGGTGTTCGAGAATCAAGAATTAACTTGTCTAATTGGAATTTTAGAAGCAGTCCCCAAATCATGCAAAATTTTTATTTTTATTTTTTTTATCTTTTGTCAAGGGGAGGTTTTGAATTACGATCTTCTATTTGCAATCTTTTTTCTCTTACTATTTAATTCAACCCTCTTCAAATTCAACAAATTCTTAAGAATAATAATAATAATATAAACACATTTTTCCATTGTATATTTTGGGCTTGAGCCTTAAAATTTTTGAGAATTCTACAATACTTTTAGGATGCCATACTAATGAGTATCAATTTATTTTAGAATGTCATGCTATGAGTATCAATTCACCGTTGAATGTATAAAAAGAGATACAAATTCTTAAAATCATTTATAAACTCTTATGGTATAAGAGTTTATAAGATTAGAATCATGGGTATATGGTACCAAGGATGGCAGAATTTCCCTAAAAAATTCATATAGCTTGGATTAGGCTTCGACCTCCTTTGAAGGGAAAAAAAAAAAAAAAAAAAGGGCTTCGACCCATATAAAACAGCAGTTCGACCCACCACTCGAGTCAACTCCTACACCCTCTATTTGACCATTTTGAATACCCGCCCCGGCGCCAACTCAGTCTCCGACTCTGAGCGTCCATCAAATTTTCCAATTAGTGCAGTGTTGTAATTTTTTCTCCGTGTGTTCGTTCTCGTGGAATCAATCGATAGAGTGCAAGCATAAAGTATCTCTAATTCCGGTTTATCTGTTTCCATTACCATTAGATATCAGATCATGAATTCGGCGGATGGGAACAAAGTATGGGAAATTAGAGTTATGAAGACAAAGCCTAAACAAGAAGAAGCCAGGAAATTTCTACAAAAGATCGCAGCGCAAGTTCAACCAATTATGCAAAAACATAACTGGAAGGTCAAGCTCCTCTCCGAATTCTGGTACTAAATAAATTGTTTTATTCTTTTATCTCTCTTTTTTTTTTTGGTTGGCTTTTACAATTTTGTGTAATCACTTTATTGCCTGTTTAATCTGTTGAAATATAGTAGAAAGGATTAATTTTTTTGTATGGGATAGAATTTCTCTTTCATTAGATTGAAAAACCCAGAAACTGGGAAAGGTTGGAAATTTTTGAACTTTTTTAGGAGTTTTGAAATGGGCTTCTTTGTTCCCTTATTGTTGGCATGACCGTATGTGACTGGTTACTCACCGGCTGACGAACCACACTGGATTGGCTTTTCTCTTTTTTCTTGTTAAAGTTCTTCGTAGACTAATTTCTGGTTTGAATAAGGTGGGTCGATGTTTCATCTGCATTTTCTTTTCTGAATTGATGGAATTCTGAATGAGTGGATTGGTTTTGCAGTCAACAAAACCTTCTGGGGTTGAACATAGGAGGAGGCCAGCATGTAAAGTTGAGGCTTAGGAGTTATTACAGTGATGAGGAGTTTTTCCCTTATGATGAAGTTCTTGATACAATGCTTCACGAGCTCTGCCACAATGTTCATGGCCCTCACGATGCTGGCTTCTACAGGCTCTGGGATGAACTTAGGAGGGTAATCTTCCCTGCGTCTGCTTTTATTTTGATAAGATGTTGAACCAAAGAAGTATATTTTACTTGCTCCAATAAAAAGATTGCTTTTTTAAAAGACCTTCTGTTTTTATCCAAATTTTGCATTAACGTGTATGCCCTTTATCTTGTATAATCTCGTATTTCGTCATTCAATTGTTATATGCATAGGAATGCGAGGACCTTATCAGAAAGGGGATAAGTGGGACAGGAAGGCCGTTGGGAGGTATCAAACCTCAACCCCCTCTTTCATTTCTCCGCCAGACTGTTTTGGCTGCTGCAGAAACGAGAGTGCATCCCTTACTGCCATCTGGACCCAAACGCATAGGTGGTGACAGTTCTATGATGGCGGCACTTACTCCTACGCAAGCAGCTGCAATGGCTGCAGAGAGGAGATATAGAGATAATATCTGGTGTGGCTCTGAATCTTATGATGCATCTGAAAATGCAGAAGAAAACAACAATCAATATTCCTTGAATATAGTGCACAGTTCAAAAAATCCAAGGGATTTTGGTAGTTTTGATGGTCAGATTTTGAATGTGATATCTCGGAAAAGAAGGCGTGGATTAAATGGTATAGCATCATCATCTCTGTCTAATAATGGTCATTCAAAGTCCAAGTTTTTGGACCTAACTACAGGTACCTCAATCACTGAGTCTATGATTTATTATCATGTACTAATATTTGATAATGAAATAATCCACCTGCTCAGATGCTGATTTTGAGTCAAGTAGAGAGGATTTATCGAGCAAGACTGCTCCTAGATCTGTTTGTGGAAGCAATCCAACTAGGGGTTCCATGTGGGAGTGTGGGACGTGTACCTTGTTGAATCCTGTAAGTGCTCAAGGTTTTCCAAATTTCAACTTCTCCTTTGGCTGTTGTAATTGAAGTATTATGCCATGCTGTCCATTTCGCGACTTCTCTTCCTGGTTAAGTTGGTTTAGTGTCTTGATAGAAACTAGTGCGCTTGCATATCCTAAAATTTTGTGGTAAAACTTATAATCACTGGCCAGATCGGTCGAATTAACTTTTGGTCACTACTTTCTTCTCCATCGCCATGAACGAAAACTTCTTATAAGCAGTTTAGTTGCTGTGCTTCGAACTACCGAATGAATGAGTTGTCTCTTATGTTGCCATGATTTGTTGGTTTTCAGGCATTGACAATTGAATAAAGTTTTGCCTTTTTATAACAAATCAAGCCAATTGCTCTAATTTTATGACAACTTGGATTATCTGATGGTTTCTCTATTTTCCAATCCTTCCATGGATTTGACATGATGTTGTTCCTTCCAATCTGACTATTGCAGCAAACAGCGCTGATGTGTGAGCTTTGCAGCTCCGGAAAACCCAAAGACGTTGATGGAAAACGGAAGTTCTGGTCATGCAAATTCTGTACTCTGGATAATGTTGTAAAGATGGAAAGATGTGAAGCATGTGGAGAGTGGAGATAGTCTCGTGTGCCCCCCTGTGGCTAAGCTAGCACAAAGTCCTTGAACTGGAGCAGCTGAAATTCTATGTTTGTGGAGGCCATTTTCTTGGTAACATCTGTTGGATTAGTAGTTGAAAGGCGATTTGGAAAGCAGTCAGGCATCACAAGAGAAACTGATTGATGAAGCATTTGGATGAAATTATGTAAATGGCACGTTGTACATTTATCTGGTGCTATGCTAAGATGATTTTCTTTCTTGCTGATAGCATGCTGCTATTGGAAGCACATGAAAATGGAATAGCACTTGCAGCCGAAGCACGGACCTAGGTGCAACCCCCGTTCCTAGTGATTTTGTGCACTTTACACACGGCATAACTTTGTTTGCACACGGCGTAACTTTATTTGCACAACATCTTTATTTGCACAACATGTAACTTTAAAATAAATTTTTGTAGATTCCACAAACGTTATAAAAAACGAGGTACAAAAAGTAATTTGAATCGTACAATTAAATTTTGACCGTGCACTGTTCAGGGACGGTCCTTTTAATGACCGTCCTGCCTTGTCTTCCCGAAGCACAGGGAATAACGCTGCTGTGCATAAAGAAACTAGTACTGCTGCTAGCTTCGCGACCTTTCATTTCGGTTTCACTTCTGGAAGCTTGGCCGCGGGGCCCAAAAAAGCCTGGCCCATACATAGGCGAAGATCAAAATGATCTGTTGAACTTTGGACCACCATGAGTAGGTCTTTGGTCTGTTTCTAGGTGGGTTAGTACATTTTGGATCGGCCCTCCAGACCCTTGTGGACCCAATGATATACTGCTTCTAGCCGACCGAAACCCAAAATTACCGCAGAGTTCTCGGTGGATGTCACTGTTGTTGTGTTACAGAAGTTACTTTCAACAGCACATGTATTGAAATTGATAATTTATTTTTTTTTTATCTTTTTGGAAAAAAGGATAATAGCGTTGATGCTGTTCGTCATGTAAATCCAATAACTTTTTTTGAAAAGTCCCTAATTTAATAAAGGCAAAATCTTGTGCTCAAACGGGGCATTTACTTGACTTTTCCAGGTTTCTGCCCAAAAAAGTAACTGTCGAGTCGAGGGGAGCATTAAACCAGCTCTCACAACTGTACAAGAATTAAGAACCATTCCGGAAATACTCTGCGACAACAGCCAATGCCCTGTTTTTGGTTAGCATTTAATTTTTTTCAACAATCGAAATTACTAGAAATCACACGACCTTTTTTGGTTAGCATTTACACCCGACCCAAAAATGGATGAGGTTTTAACGGTTGCATCCTTCCAAAAAAAAAAGAAAAGGGAGACTAAGGTAGCATTGACCATTGAGAGTAGAAATTTCATGGGGAAGAATGGGCTGAAGACACGAGTCATCCGCGGTGCTGGAGAAAATTAAAATTAGAGACCTACGAATTAGGCATGGCCATGGTTTCATTTGGAACCAGAAATTGAACCGGAATCGGACCGTTTGGAATTGGACCAAAATCAGAACTAAAATCATGAAACCAGAACCGTGGTAGTTCCGGTTCTGGTTCTCTAAAAAATAGAACCAGAACCAGAACCGCTGGTTCCAGAACCGTTAAAAATAATTAATATAAGTAGTGAGATAATTCAAAAAAAAAAAGTTGTGTTTAATAGGTTTTAAGAAAGTTTAAATTTTATGGACTTTCTATATATTTTATTAATTATTTAATTCTTTCTATTCATCTAATATCTATCATTATAATTTGTAAGTATTAAATTATTACTTACACATTTTTTTTTTACTTATTTGCTATCAAATGACAAGTTTTGATGGTAGTAGCTCATCTTCAAAATCAAGCAAGCAAAAAAATATTTTTTGCAATATTTCTTCAAATGGAATCTTCAACATTGATGATTGTCCAACTCAAGAAAGTTAACACATGACAACCATTTGATAGTGTAATGTATTTTTTAATTTGACAATGTAATATACTTTTCATAAAATTTATATTATCTATTTATTACTTCTTACTTTGTAGAATAATAATAAAATTAAAATATGATCTTTATTTTGTATTTATTTTTTTACATTTTATTTGAAATTTTAAATATATTGTTATATTCGTATTAAAATTGGTAAGGATGAGGAATTAAATAAAATTATATACAACTATATAGAACCGAAAACAAGAACTAGAACCATAAGGAACCAAAATTATAACTATGCAGTTCTAGTTCTACCTTTTTAAAGAATCAGAACCAAAACCATCTTATATGATACGGTTCTGATTCTACCTCTTTAAAAAATCAGAACCGACAATTCTGAAACCGTTGCCATGCCTACGAATGAGAATTACGGCGTCCGTGAGAAAGTAGAATTTACAGAATAACCGTAGGATCAAGATCAAGCTGATCAAGATGAAGTAGGAGGTCCCACTGTTTGCTCAAAGCATCTAAGCGAATCACATGATAGATTTCATTATGATCATAGTTTACTGTTACCTCATTTGATCATTCCACCGGGTACCGGCTACGAGTCCCCACCCCATCCCCACTCCCTCTTGCCCAATTCCAAAAAAAAAAAAAAAATCTCGAAGGGTTTCCAGTTTCCACTTTCAGCTTCCTTTGACGACTCTGCAACTCTCCCTTCCCTTGCCTTCCCTTCCACTATGCTTTCTTTTCCCATTGAACCCCATTTTCTCTCCGGTGTTTCTCCTCAACTCTTCCTCCTCCTCCTTTTCTCTTTCTTCCCTAGCTAGCTTTTCAATGTTCAGCTTCTGAAAGCCAGGGAACAAAAACTGGTTCTTTTTTTTTATTATTATTTTTTTTCCACGTTCAACTGGGGCATACTATTCTTTTCTCTATTCAACTCCCAAACCATTTGGATTTGCTAATTTCTTCTTAGCTCTGTCCCTATTGTTGTTAACCCTGACGCTTACTTCATTTTGTTGATGATTTTTTTTTTTTTTTACTTAGGTAGGAGAAATGAAAAGTTAGGTGGCGTTTTGAACTGTTATCTTACTTAGGTTTCTGCCGTTCGTTCAGATCTTTTGAGCCATGGGCTTTTGTGGGTCGTCCTCAGTTTTGCCCCAAATACCCTGCTTTTTTGTCTGCTTTGAGTTTCTTTGACTTTCGGCTGGAATTTCGGAAAAGCCCTTTTGAGTGAACTTAGTTTGAGCACTCAATCGGCAAGATTGTAACCTTTTGTCCTTCAGTTCTTGCAAAGATTGCAGCTTTAGCTTTTGTGGACGGCTAGTTTGCTTTGGTCAACACCCTTTGACAGATTTCTTTTGTAGGGCAGCTTAAGTTTTGCAAATTTGGGATTTTTTAGGACTTCGACGGTTCGTTTAGCTCCCTAGGTTAGGTTTAGTATTATTTGAATTATGGCTGCAAGTGATCAGTGTTTTGTAGAGTGGAAAGAACAATTTGTTTCAAAAGAGAGGGGTAACCGGGTGGTTCACTATTTCTTGAAGGATTCATCAGGGGAATCCATTCTTGCTGTTGTGGGTACTGAGAGAAGTGTTAGGCACATGTTCTATGTTGTTTCTGAGGAGTTTTTGAATGCTTATGGGGCTGAGAATTCTGTCCATGCTGGCTTCAGATGGAGATCAAGGAGAGAGGTCGTAAATTGGCTCACATCTATGCTTTCAAAACAGCATAGACAAAGCGATTGCTCAAGTATGTTTTTGCCGTCATTTGTAGTGCTAGCTGTTTTCCAGCTGTGTGTTGTGCGATTGCCCATATCTTTGATTTAGCAAGTCCGATATTGATTCAATTGTGGAACTCTCTTCTAAACTGCATATTCTGATACTTTTTGAAGGTTTGATAAAAATTAGAGAAATTGTTGGCTTCTCCCTGTTTTATAGCTCTGAAGCTTTGTGTCTTCCACTTTGCCTCCCTTCTCATCGCTTTTCTATTTGCATTTGAGTTTTCACAATCGTGGTGCCCTGTGCAAGCGTTCATGGGTACGCGTTAACACTTGTTTCTTTGATAAGCATGCTTCGATACTTAGAAGTTTTGATTTTGGAAGGATATGACCTTGTTTACCCTGTTGAGGATTTGTGAGCCATCATTGAGAAATTAATCTTGATTAACTAAGTTATATTTGTAAGTATGGATACTTACCTGGCTATTTGATTTTTCTTTTTCTTCTTGGTGGGCCGGGGGGTTGGCAGGTTATTTTTAGACATGGGGGTTTACCGCCCGGATAAGCCTTTGCTGAAGGCTTTTAATTTCATTCGTGATATTTCTGGACATTAGAGACAATTTTTTCTCAGTTTTTTGAAATTGAACATTGAATTCATGGCAATGTTTTTGTGGATTAAATTCTCGTGCAAGGTAGAGGTTTGTATAATATTTTGCATATTCCTTCACTGATTCTGTCATATTACATTTTTACCTTTATTCAAGACCAGTAGCCATAATGGTTTGGTGCGAGTATATTGGCTTTGACATTTATAGATTGTTTAGTTCCTTCAATTGAAGATTGCCCTTCTTCTTTACAGGATCACCAAAAGATGATCCAATTTTTGCCGTCAACATTAGACAGCCACAAATTCGAGAACCTAAGGTACTGGTTTTCCTCTTCTTTCTTATGCAGTCTGAAGTAGAAGTGAAACTTAATGCAGGTGCTCTTTCATTTCAGGGCCGTCTTGCAAGGAATTTAAGAGGAAATCCCTCGGATATAGTTTGGTCTGATGAAGCATGGGCATGTGGTAAACAACTTAAGCACTTCCCAGCATTTTGCAGAAATGGGGTTACTATAGCGGTGAGCGTACTGAGACGTCCTAAAGACTTGACATGAGGTTTTCTCAGTAGCATTTGCATAAGATGTGGACTTCCTTTTCCCCTTTGAGATTTTGATTATTTAGTGTGACCGCTGAGTATGATGAGTCTGAAGGCTTGGGACATCCAATACCTGGGGAAATCAACTGCATGCTCCTTATGTTTTCCTTGAGTTGTTAATATATATTTCTTTCTATGTTGTTTTGATGCGTCATTTGGATTTCAATATTTTGCCTAGACTGATGTGCAGTCTAATTTTCAGGTTCAATCATTTGTATATGTCATGGCTGAAAAGGAGAACAGGTATCTTGCATATTTGGAAGATATGTATGAAGACAGAAAGGGCCACAAAAAGGTAAAAGTGAGATGGTTTCACCATAATCGAGAAGTAAGGGGTGTTGTTTCTGTACGGAACCCGCATCCTAAAGAAGTATTTATTACACCTTATGCTCAAGTTATCAGTGCGGAGTGTGTTGATGGTCCTGCAATAGTTTTGACTCGTGAACATTATGAGAAGTGCATAGCTGTTTTCCCAAATGATGTGT